ACTCTAATTCTAGGGATCAATGGGTAGGGGTGTGTGGTGCACCTTTTGCTGACCTCCCTTTGGGACAGCGTCTAAGATACGTCAAACCCACATTGTATGCCCTCGTTGTATCTACTCGAGTCTGACCCATGGCCTTCGCAGACCATACCCAAGTGTAAACTGTAAGTCAACTAGACCCGTGGTACACACACACACACACACACACACACACACACACACCCCCAACTAGCTCGCAAGTAAGTAGAGCCGGGTATTAATAGATTGAAGGTGCATCCATACAACTCGTTTCCCCAAGCACCAACTTTGATCTTTTCGTTCTTAAACCCTCGTGTAACTTGCATCCGCCTTCTTCCATACTTTGGATTTTCACTCACAACTCGACTACTTTTCCCGTCGCCCCGCGTGGCCGATAGTCGCCGCCCCACCCCATAAACGAGGTGTATCACTTCTCAGAATCCTTGTTGATTGCCTCACGGCTGCCTTTCTTTTCTCTTCCCCCCTTCCGGAGGCTTCTGCTTGATTGCGCTCAACTTTTTATTGGCGAAAACAAACAAGACCCGGATACGGCCCGGGGAGAAGGGGATACGTCATGACATCGATAGTGAGTTTGCTTTTTCCTCTCAATCTGTCTACCCATTGCTTCTCTCGCCCGGCGGTACCACCTCATCCTCCCCCAAAAATGTCCAGTTTCCCCGGACCAGCAGCCAATCTCGACTGCAGTGTCTTGCTGTCCCCGGCCGTCAAACCTGTCCGTCCGTCTTGCCTTTTTGTAATTGGCGAGAGCCGCTCGCTCACCGCCTCACCGCTTCCCGCATATCAGTGCACATGCCCATCCTCTCCGTCTTCCCCGTCCTCCCAGACATTCAGACAGACCAGACACGAGACACCGGCAATCAGGAAAGCATCCCCACGACTGGGGCCCTGCCTGTTGCAACCGGCCTCGCCTTGCCCAACTTTCTCATCCCATCCCAACCTTTCTCCCATGTCCGAACACCGCAATATCCCGTTTTCTAATTAGCCCTTCCATCTCCTGTCCTCCCCCAATCCCACGCACAAACCCATTCACCATCTCCCATACCCCCTTCAGACTGACCATAAGAAAGGGAGACTGCGCCGCCATGGCCTCTTCCATGTTTTCTCGCAACTACCCTCCCTGTCTCTTGTCACACATAACTTTACCCATGGGCGCCTGCCACGACTCGTATCTTAGTCTACCCGTCGTGCCCCTTCTATATCCCGTCCCCCGTCTGCCCGAGGACAAGCTGCACCACCATCCTTCATCTACTCTTATTCTCACACACCGTCATGCCTGCACCTGTTTTTTGAGAGAACACCATTTTCTCCCCCTTGCTGCGCGAGACTTTGTTGTTGTTGTTGTTGTTTTTGTTGTCATTGTCTCTCTCCCCTTCCGCCCAAGGTCGCTCGCTGTCTTTTCTCACGATGCGCGTCCCGTCGTTTGAGGACACTCTCGCCACTCCTGGCGAACATAGTGCAGCAATGCCTCAACCACCAAATACGCAGTCACTAATGACCGGCCTCCAGCTATGCCTCGCTCACTACTGCGACCAACACGGCCCGACCCCGCTGATGGTCACCGAGGGCCTACCCGTCCCATGCACCACATGCTTCGATAATGGCCCTGTTGGTTATGCCGACCAGGATCAACTCCGACCCCGGACCAGCGTCCCAACGACTGCTGCATCTCTGAACCAGACAGTGGCCATGACCGATGCGCTGCGCCAGATGCACCTCAACCCCCATCGCAGCTCGTCTATGCCCACCTCTGAGAACGAAGCCCAGGTTCAGCGCGCCGCCATTCTTCGTGCGTCCGCCGCCAATTCCCCGGCTTCGCCACTGTCGCCTTCAGCCATCGAGACCCCACCCGAAAGCCCCCGCCGCATATCAGAGCAGCAACCGCAGCCACGACGAGACTCGAGTTTCCGCAGAACCTACGACGAATACGTTACGAAGCGCGCCGGCCCTTGCGAGAATTGCGCCTTGACGCTACCGCAACGACAGGGCAGCAAGGACAAGGCCGACATGAAGGCCGAGCGTGGCCCTACTTTGCGCACCCGCGCACCATATGCGAGAGTATACGGGCAGGCATCGCCGCCAGCCTCGTCTGCTAGCGATACCGACGGAGAAAGCCAACCAGGACGAATGCACCGAAGAGCAACGGGCTCCTCCACGACGCGATCCAGCATGTCCTCGGGGAGACACACAAGTCATATCCACTACCTCGACTATACCTCGACCCACGAACCACTCATCCCGTCTTCCTTCTCAATCGTGCGATCCTCATGCCTGCGCACGCTCTCGCTGGAGACTCTCCCTCGTGCGCCCGCAAATCCTACGCCGAGTGCCTCGCCACAGTCCAGCAACATGCCCGCCTTTGTCACGACGCACAGCGCCGGGGCGGCAGCGTCTGGTGGTCCCATCTTCTTCGGAGATCCAGTCAACGGGTACACGACGGCTTACATTTTCCGCATCCCGGATATGCACGCTAGAGGACACAAGCGAGTATATGCCTTCCTTGCCCTGAGCACGCACAAGGAGCGTCTTGCTATGAAAACATTTGGATTTATGGCTGCTGCCTTCCGTGATCTTGCGTCATGGATCCAACAGCTGGCGGAAGCCGAAGCCGAGAAGGCAGCCGAGGCTAGTCCCGTGGGAGGCCCGCAACACCACAGCTCTTATCCCATGATGACCAGACCGGACAGAGAGGGACCTGACCGTGGTGGCAGCAGCTTTCTCACTGGAGGCGGCGGCTTCTCAAGGCGAATGGGTGGCGGTCCCGGAGGGGTCTCGCTCAAGGCCCGTGGCCTTGCTGAGCTCGTCGGTATGCCCGATTTCTTCATCGAACTTCATGCCAAGTTTGTCAAGCTCATGCTTGAGCTCGGTGTCGTACTAAGCTCCTAACCACTCTGGTGGCTGCACATATACGTTTACAACATATTGTCCCATTGACATCTCATAGACACGAGATGGGGAAGGCTACCCCCTGGGAGGTGGGGGGTATCAGTGCACAACGCTCATCTGCATGCATGCTCTGGCAGGTTCAGCCAGAACACGTGTTGCACCGTGCGAGAACAACCTCGAACCAACAAGCAGCAACAGTAATGACAATCGATAATCATCTTTGCTTGCTGGTTGAGATGGAGACGAGAAGCTAGGAAGGAGAGTTTTGCGAAAGGAGAGACGGATATACCCCCCTTTGAGATGAAGGTCATCTCACATTGCACCATGGCTTTCTGCATTAGCGACGGCAGCATCCGGAGTCTTTTTTCATTTTGTTATTTTGTTTTTGTCACTGAGCCTTACCAAGCGTTTTGCGCTTGAGCAGAATGGCTCGACGGACTTTGATATTCAGGGTTTGTTTAACAAAAGGGGGTGGAAGGATTGCTGAGTGTGTTGTTTTACCTCATAGCTTATGATTCATGTTCTTCCCCCTCCGGTTTCTTACTGACCGACCTGCTCTTTTCTGCGCAGGCTTCTTTTATTTATTGTTTTATTCTCTCAACTGATGGAATCCCAGGCCGGTGGCTGGCATGGGAAAAGAGGGGAAAGGAATAAAAGGCAACCCAAAAGCACTGGAAAGGGAGAAAAAGAAACCACTTAGAAATAGGAAATCTGGCCTCATAGGAAAACAAGACTTGGGGGAATGTGCACAACGGGGTCTATCAGAAACATAATCCCGCTGCCAAATCAAGCTGGGTGTCTTTGTGCCTGTTACTCTTTGATTCTTGGTGACGTGAAACCCCCCCCCCCAATACGCCTTGAGGCGGAATGCGCGGGACGCTAATAAAGTTCAACGGTTTTTATTTGTCCGTCACTGGTCGATTCCTGACATGACGCGCAGAGTTTGGATCCTATTATCTACAATGCCACATGCCTACGGACCGGAGACCAAGAGAGTAGGGGGGGAGGGGGGGAAGAGTGATGTGTAACAGGGGACTCGGCGAACCGCTCGTTTACCTCGGTATTGCGTCCGGAGGGCGGGAGAAACATCTAGTCGTCAGGAAAATCCGAGCTCCGGGGCACACCGGCGGGATATTGCCGACTCTGTTCCTCCCTCTCCCGTATCGTCCTGCGCGCCGACCCCGGCCTCGTCCCCGAGATTGTTCCGCCGCCGCGACGCGAGAGGTTGCAAACGCCGACAGAGTGCCGTGTGCACGCAGCATAGGGCAGCTCGCCCGTGCGTGTAGCTCATGCTGAAATCCCAGAGCCGTCGGTATCGTATCCCGGCGTCCTGTATATCTTTGTTCCTGTTTCGGTATTTTCTTGTTCGAAACGTCATCACAATGGCAAATACTGACAGAACGGCGACTGGCAGCGCAGCTTTTTTACCAAGTGTATTGTACAAGGTGACGCCGAGCTTCGCTCCCCGAAGCCTTGAAAGTCTATCCCTTCCCTAATCGTGTCCCGGCGTGCTATTACATCGCCAGCCTGGCAGCGTGCAGTGTCTCGTTCCTCCGACGATACGCTTCCTTGCCCCCCCCCCCCCCCCCCCTCCATGCGCATCCTCCGTCTCCTCCTGGGCAGCGTCCGCGGCTTATTTGTAAAAGTCAAACTTGTTCTCATCGCTTGTGCCCTTGACCTGGCTTGAGTAGGCGTCCTCCAAGTCGCTCTGGATGATGTTGTAACGGTTCTTCCGCACTGCGCGGAGACCAGCCTCCTGCATGATGGCAGCGATGACGGCACCGCTCAGGGGATCGTTGCGGACGATCAGAGAGTCCAGATCCACTTCAGGAGCGAGACTCATCTTGCTGGCGATGGTGGAGAAGATGAGACGACGTTCGCGTCTATCTCTCAAGCTGGGGAACTCAATCTTTCGGTCCAGACGACCGGGACGGAGTAGGGCGGGGTCGAGGGTATCAGCTCGGTTGGTGGCCATGATGACCTTGACATTGGCGGTCTGGTCGAAACCATCCATCTGGTTGAGTAGCTCCAGCAGAATACGCTGGACTTCACGATCGGCACCAGTCTGAGCATCGAACCGTTTCGTCGCAATAGCATCGATCTCGTCGATGAAGATAATGGCGGGGGCGTTCTCGCGGGCCATGCGGAAGACGTCACGAACCATACGGGGACCCTCGCCAAGGTACTTCTGCACGAACTCGGATCCGACGACGCGAATGAAGTTTGCTGTTGTGGAGTTCGCCACAGCCTTGACCAGCATTGTCTTTCCCGTTCCGGGGGGGCCATAGAGCAACACGCCGCGAGGGGGGTCGATACCGATCTGCTTGTAGAGGTCGAAGTGCGTCAAAGGAAGCTCGACAGCCTCACGGATCTCTTGTTTCTGCATGTCCAGACCACCAACATCGGCATACGTCACGTCGGGCTTCTCATCGGCGCCAAGCATGGCAATGGAGGAGTCCGCTTCGGGAGGGAGAATATCGACGAGAGCGTTCGAGTGGCGGTGGAGGGCAACGGAGGACGAGGGCTTGAGCTTCTCGCGGTCGAGGGTGGAAAGGATACGGACGACATAGTTGGAGCCGGTGGAGGACTGCACGATTCCGGTGCTGCGACGGGTTAGCTATGATGAGGTCCAGCGGCTATGAGAGCAGCTGTGTGCGGGGGCCTGCGTACTTCTGATCGATGGCTTCCATGAACTGCCCGATTACCAGCGGAACGCTCTGGATCCGCTTGATTTCCTCCTGAGCCCGGACAAGCTCGCGCTTCAGACTCCTATGACGCCTTGTCAGCAAACCGAATAAAATGCGGTGATTCCGAGCAAGTCCCACCTCTGCTCATCCTTGATGTACTCCTCCTGCAGCTGAATGTACTCAAGTTGTCTCTGCAACTTCTTCAATGTGGCATAATCGTCGCCTCCTTCCGTCGAGATGCCCTCGAAGTTTTCGATACTAGGGATTGTTGAGGGCGCCGTCTTCTTGTGAGGAAGCGTCTGGTTGGCCAGGTTTTCTACCAAAACGTCGCCCATTGTGTCAGAGATTAGGCGAGAAGTGGTGTCGTCGTAATGGGGTTTCGGGCACTATATCTATGTCGGCGATCGCAGAAGATGTAGGGTCGCGGGGAGTGGATTCTGACGTTGACGATGGCAAAGGTGTTGTCAAGCTTGGTGGTGCTTGCCTGCTCTAGCTTGCTGTAGGCGTCAATGGATACGCATGCAGCGTTCCAGCCTGGCTTAGTCAGGAACCTCGTAGAAGCTCTTGTATCACGTGAGGTCTACTTCCCAAGGCAGACCTCATTGCTGGTTGATTGGCTGAGCAGGTGACCTGGAGCAGGGCGGAATGCCTGCGGCACGCTACCCACTCTTTGAGGCAGCGATGCTCTCCGATTGGTTAGTGGAGGGGCCACCTTCCCCCGCCATGTATACTGTGGGGACAGCCTGGGAGTAATCCCTGCCATGATGATGTTAGGGTCTCTCCCGCAATCCACTGTTAGCGACGTCGGTGAGTGTCACTGCCGGACCTTAGCACAGCGTCCAGCGTCGGCACCTATCTCTTATCAACCTCCCCTAAGCCCATGGGATGATGTGGTGGGCGGTGATTTACCGGATGCCTCGTTAGGCCTCGTCCCAGTAAGTGACCTAGCACTGTACGGTATCAGTCACAGGCACACCTCTTCTCTTCGGTCTCGTACCTATAATCGCAACCTTGACTCCTTCAACATCTCATTCTCTCCGACGACACACCACTGGTTCCTCCACCCGACAAGTCGCCTGGTGTGCGTCCGTCTCCATTCTTCCTCCAATCGTTCTGACTGCTTTCAAACATTCTCGGAGTTTTATCGTCTCTCCTCCATTTCCCCTCCAATACCCTAACCATCGTCATGTCGTCGTCTATTGCTATCCCGATGACGCCGTCGTCGGCCAACACATACCACCACCAGTCTGCCCAGGTGCGCGGTACTACCAGCTCCTCTTCGTCGATGTACTCCAGTTCCCCTCGGACTTCGTCCCCATCGTCCGCTCAGAAGCAGAAGATGGCCCACGGGCGCCGTCCTAGCCTTCTCAGTATGTCATCCCGCCTTATTTTGTGACCATGAAGCCAGTCGTCGCAGTCTGGCCAGGCCTGGATGTCTCGGGTTCGTTGCACGGCATACCGCAGTCACTTACTGACATTTTGGGAAGGCTCCGCCCTGTCAAAGCAGGAAAGCACCGTTATCAACATCGGTGAGCCAAACGGCACCCCGCGCCTGGTATGACCACTTGCAACCCTTGATATGGGGTATTCTGGCTGACAGGCTTATCAGATCACCTACCTCTCCTCAAGCCAAGGCTTTGCGTGGAACCCAGGTATGTCCCGACTTCAAACCAACTGCTACCCCACCTCAGGCTGACAGGGGGATGGCAGAGATCTTCCTGCCATCCTACGTGGACTGCGACTACGTCCCCCTCGAGAACCGCCGGGAGCCTGTACACGAGATCGTCCTCAGTGACGAAGAGATCAACAATATGTTCCCTCAATAACAGTTCCCCGACCGGCGACCATGACGCTACACACGAACACCAACGTCCTGCGTGCTTTAGACCGATGGTTCTCACGAGACACCCTTTCATTTCCATACCACGGCGTCCGATACGACCTATAGCCTCTTTCCGATTCTTCTTCCACCATTTACATCAGACTACCTTCCGAACTAGAACAGCGGATAAGGCCATGCCCGGACCGGAGACGCACGGGCATGTGTACACACTGAGTGGAAGCACAATACATCCAGCATTTTCCTCTTTTATTGGGACGAGGACTTTTTATTAGCACCTGGGCTTGGGGGATCATTGGTGGAGTTGGAACTTCTTTCGGGCCGGATGGGGTTTCCGTCACGCCATATTTCTTATCAGTTTGTTGCCGTTATCCTTGGATTGGGGCGTTCTTCGGTATTGCCAGCACATACCCTCTTCCCACCCTCGATCATGTACCATGCCGCGACTGCTTCGGTTTTCCATTGCTCTGCTTTCACACCTTTTCCATAGTCCAATAGAGTCAAAAGACACTATTCCTGGTATGCTTTCCGTCATCCAGGGCCCCATTGGTGCACAACTTGCGCGCCCCCTTGGCATGTGAGGCTTATGCAAGTTTGGTCCCATACTTGTAGGGGGGTTTGAACAGCCAAGGTAGCATGTCGGCCGAGTATGAATATGCAGTACACTAGGTGATGGTTTACGGGTTGCGTCGGGGTAGTTGAACGGACCTCCCTCAACTTACGACCTTGGGCATCCACCAGCCACCTGTAGGATTTCAAGTCGCCGCCAAGCTGGGGTTCTCCGCAAGGCATACAACTCAAAACCCGAGATTCTTGAAGACCACCAAGAACGGTGCCATGTTGACCTTGAATTCTGGTGAAACGTCCCCTTTGGTGACTGACTCAAGCCCTCTCATCTGAGCAGCACTGGCACGGCGCACTGCCGTCGGGTGGCCTGTTTGAACGTCTTTCCCAGATGGCGTCGAACCGCAAAGGTGAGAGAAATGGGCGGGCCCGGCTCAGACTGGCCGGCGCTACTGTACGGTGTACATGTTTTCTACCGCACCACCCGAACGCTATTCATCAGCCGCCCCCGAATGGCGCTCCGCTTCCTGGCCTGGCCTTGCCTTCCCCATGCTGCTCGTTCCTCAAAGGTTGTTGCTGCCAAGCAGCGTGGACCCCTTCGTAACCGCGCCCCACACATCGGTTGTCCCGCGCCAGGTTCCCAGCGTGTGATTCGACAGTCCTGTGACTTTGCGAAACTGGGACATGGGGCCGTAGTCATAGCGCCGAAAGGCATGATGCCTGGGACAACTTGGATGAAAGATGTCGCCGAATGGAACGTTGAACTGCTGGAGTCGTTTTTCTCTCCTTTGCTGGCTGTTCCGCCCTGGCCGGCGAGTGGCGAAGTGCACTAGGGATATCTCTGTTTGCCAGTAAGGGAGCAGCTGATTAGGTATTTGTAGTTTGCATAGCATTCGCCCTATCCAGCTCATGTAGGGATATACATAGTAAATTACCCAGGGAAGGGTAACCTGTCACTCACGTTGCCGGTGTCGTCATCGGTGGGATGTAATATTGTGTGATGCTATTTTCAACAAAGTGTCCTTGTTCCGTATCTCCTCTTGATTCACGACGCAGGAAGCACCGTCGATCACATTCACGATTGCCGTTGGCTCGAACTGTGGACCCGTGGGATCCTGCGTCACCTCGAAGTAGGTTAGACGCATCGAGTATCCGTAGGGGAGTCATCTTCTCCCGATTCACTCTTTTCTTGCCCCCCCTCCCCGCATATCCGAAGTCCGGCGCTACATTTGAAGACAGACCCGAAAAAGGACAATATTTTTTTATTCTTATTTTTGATTTCATCTAGTTTTTTTTAGAGTTTTTTTTTAGTTTAGATACGGCCATCTTACGTTCTGGTGACGATTCCTGCAAAAACAAAGTCAGTTTTCAGGAAAGTCCTTGAAGACCAGGCCCGTCTTCTGCTCCGTGTTGCACACACTGGCCCGGCACCACGGTAGGATGTCTGACGCATTGTCCGACCTCGGCAGTTTTCCGTTGAGGTCGTACTGGCAGATGCAGGGGGAGGGTCATATGCTGATATCGATAAGACAGGCTCGCTGTGATGAGCGACAAGCACGGGTGAGCGGCCTGCGGAAAGGTGGGACATGTCGGACGACGGAGCTTGACGCACGCCGACACTCAATTGTTCTCTCCTCCGGGCCGTCGTCCGACATAAACACGCGATCGACCACAAGCCCCCTGTGGACTAGACGAACACACGACGCCCGACGACACACCAAACATTGTTTCCTGCCGGTACGGCACGCGTTTTTCGTCCCCTCCCCTTTCGACTAGACCACCCTTTCGACGTAGGATGGAGTCTGCGCACAGGAAGATCGAGCTGCAGTCCCACGAGGACCTCGCGTTCCTCCTCAACAACGTCCGACGCGCCGCGCAGGACCAGCTCGATAAGGCATTCCCCCACATCGAGGGCAGTACCTCGCAGGAGGACGAATTGCGGGCGCCTATTGAGCGTCTCGTCAACGAGGTACGGACTCACTTTTGCTATTGTCCGCATTTTTTGTTCGGACGTATTTTCATCATGTAGGCTTGCTTGGCCACGGAGTTGCCACCCAGCGCATTTCAACGATTCCATGCCGGTTGTATGCTCGGGATGATTGTGTCGAATCTTCACACGGTTGAGTCAAAAATTGAGAGAAGCCCAAATCGCTGACACACCGTTCCCCATATCAGTACATCAACAAAACATTCACCTACGCCGCCCCAAACCTCTCCATAAACGGCCTCGACGCCGACCCCGCCAACTTCCTCTCTGACAACCCCTCCGACGAGCCCGAAGAGACCTACGAGCCGTGGGACGCCCGCCTCCGCCAGCGCGTCGAAGACCTTGCCCGCGAGGAGGAGGACCTCCTCAACGAGATCGCCGCCCTGAAGAAGTCTGTCCCTGGCGCCGTCGCTGCCGCGGCGACGCACCACTTTAAGACCGCGGCGGCAGCGGACGAGTCCGCGCTCGAAGCCGCTAAAAAGGCCAAGGAGGACGAGGTGAGAGAGATCGAGGCCGAGGTGCTCCCGCTGGAAGAGATGGAAAGAAAGGCAGAGGTCAAGGAGGCATTCAGTGGCGCGGTTGGGGCGCTGGGGCGGTTGAAGAAGGAGATGCCGGCCACCGTCGCGAAGATGGAGCGGGCGAGGGTCGCAGGGGAGTACACCGTCACGGAGCGGTCGTGACGAGTCCCGTGGGAGGGGACTGCTACGAATGCTTGGGAGTTTCGGCGTTAGGGGGCTCTATACCACATCTTGCCACTCATAGAGGGTTTCCTCGATGTTTTAATCCAATCAAAACGAGTCATCTACGCAGCCGGCATCACATCAGCACCATAAACCACTCAGAAAAAACAGCCGTGGGACTATTCTATTACGAAGGATCCAGGTGTCCAAACGAAAGTATGTATAACAGGAAACAGCTAAGTGTGCCAAAACCAACACGGGTATGAGCGATTCTGCAAAAAGAAGCTCTTATTTTTAGACCATTCCCGGCTTCAAGCCTCTTTCTACTTCACCCCGGATGCAGCGACAAACTTGCCAACGCCTTCTCTCTAGCTGCTCGACCGGCAGCATAATTCAAATAACAATCACCTCTCTGGACGCATCGCGCGCGAGCTATATCGAGGGAGCGCTTATGCAGCAGCAGGGGCCTTGGTGTCCGCAGTAGCATCGACAGTGGCAGCGGGAGCAGGAGCGGAAGCATCAGCAGGGGCAGTGACCGTCTCGCCGCCCTTGTTCTCAATGACGTCGCTGGCGGGAGCCTTGGCCTCAGGCTTCGCCCACCAGGGCTCCTTGGTCCACTCCTTCTCGTGCCACGGGCCGGCGTCGCTCATGTGGCAGCCGCCCTGGCACTCGCACTTACCGCCAAATGCCTTGGGCAGGTTCTCGGCGGGAATCTGGGCGAGGAGCTCTTTCTGGTAGCCCGAGCCGAGGATGTTGATCTTCTGGACAGTCACGGGGTCGAGCCAGCCCTTGACGACGCTCCAAACGGTGGAGAAGCCCCAAGGGGCGTTGATCATGTAGAGCTTGCCGAGGCGCTCGGGGTAGTAGTTCTGGGAGATGACGGAGGCCTGCTTGACGTAGCTATAGACCTGGGGCACGCGCGTGATGGTGACACCCTTGAGGTCCATGATGGTGCAGCAGGTCTCAACGAGGTGGTTGTACTTGCGGGAGCAGGAGGGGAAGCGGGGGTCGGCACACTTCTCGTACTCAACAGCCAGGTTGGTCAACATGCGCTCTGCGGTGGTAATCTTGTACATGGCGGTCAAGTCGATGCCGCCGAGCTGCTCGATGTAGACAGGACGGCCATCCTGCGGGTTCAGGCGTTAGCAAATTGCAGAGGCGATGGTTTTCCTCAATCCCACATCCCTTCATACCTTATCGTTCTTGTGGTAGTACTGAGGGTAGAACTTGAAGAGCTGCTCCTTCTCAGGGTACTCCCAGGTGGGCACGGTCTCGTCAAGCTTGGTCGTTTTCCGCCATTCCTCGAAGTCGACGAACCTAAGGGTGTTCAGTCAGCTGTCGGTGCACCTTTTGAAGTCGGGGAAAAAAAAAGGATGCTCACATCTGCTTGGCCAGGTTGACATCGAACTTGCGGGCGCGGAGGAAACGCAGCTGTACCAGCCGTGTTAGCAGTCAGGACAGAACATTGGCGACGCAAGCTGCCTTTAATATTGCGGTCTAGCTCGGGAAGTAAAAGAGCCTACCAGAGTCAAGGTGTCGAGACGCTTGCTGTAGCCATCAGACTCGAGCATCAGGCGCAGCTGAGAGACCTGGGCCTTCTGCTCAGGCGTAAGGTGGCCAGGGTGGCCATTTCCGGGCGTCGCGGCGACGGTCGGGAAGTCGTACTGGTCGTACTTGGGGTCGAGTTCCTGTTGGGACATGGTGGGGCTGGTCTAAGGGTCTTCGGTTTACGTGTGAAGAAGGGTCGGCGGTGTGTAGGAAAGAAGGAGATTGAGAGGGATTTTGCAACAACGCAAAAAAAAAAAGGCGGGGTGGGAGAAGAAGAAATGGGAATTCGCAACGAGAACGATGCGGCGCGGGACCAGGTGTTGCTCCTGGAGGTAAGTCGAGACCAGGATCGTAGGTGTGTTTAAGGAGGAAGAAGCTGAGCTGTGGGGAAAAGGGAAGGAAGATCTCTGGCGGAAAGTAGCGGAGGCTTGGGAGGTCGAATTAAAGTGAAGTTGCTGGCGGAATGCCAGGCTTCGTCATACATAGCGACCGTCGACCGGTCCCGCACGCTGCTGCTACCCGCCCCCCCCCCCCCCCCTGGCTGCCCCTCAAATTGGCTGTTCGCCAGTCCGTCTTCACCGCACTTACGCAGCCACATCTAAGATACGGGAATACGTATGCGTTTGCTTGTGGGCGTCCTTACGTAATGGACTGGAACCCACCCACGAGCATTCAGAGGCGCTGGAGATTGGTGCATCGTGGCCCGCCAGATTGGCTGGCAATGTGTCTTGAATTGTCATGAGTCGGTCACGTTCTGTTTGGGCACTGGTTATGAAAGTGGTATCGGATTTTGGTCGTGGGTGTTTGTGGCCCGATGTATCTGAGGTGAGCCTTGACCGGGCTGGACTTCGGATGGGCACAAGATCCCAGCCTGTTCTGTTGGGTGTTCCATAACATGTCATCCTTCACGCGGTTGGATGCGCTGCATAGGTTGAGTCCTTGGTGTGGCACAGATGAACTCGATACTTTTATTATCGTGATGGATGCACCGGCACATTGAGGCCTCCCAGACTCCAAGCCGGAACCCGAAATTAGGTCATCTTCGCACCCCTTGATAGGATTCGTAAGCCTGTAAGGCTCTTACCCCCCAATATCGGATAGAGTTCCGAGTCTATTATTGACTGACTGAGCTCAGGGGATTGTGCATCGCAGTGAGGCGCCATCGTGAAAATGACAGAATTACCAAGTGATTTTTGTTTGGTATCGAGCATTGCATCAGCCGTTCGCCTCGCTTTCGTCCCCTTCCTTCTTGATGCCCTTTCCTTCTTCCTTGTCTTTGCGCTTCTGGACGACCTCCCAGTTGTAAACTCTCGCAATGGCAACCTCCATGGTCTGTTTTCAATCAGCATACTGCGGACCGCTCTATCGGGCGCCAAACGTACCGTGATCTGCTCTCTCAGGAAGTCTAGGTCTTCTTCGCAGTTTGATAAGCTCGTTTTCGCTGTCGATAGCTTGGAATCGAGAAGCGTTTCGGCTTCGTCGATAGGGTACGACAGCATCACGTTGGCCTATCGTTCAGTCAGTCTCAATCTCTCGCCATGTCTGTTCAGTCGCGAAACGTACGCCTAGCCAAATGTACACTTCCTCGGTGGGCGGGATCTTCGCCTTGGAGTATAGCGTGTCGTTGAGCTCGAAGGTCGTTTCGATTGGTTCATCATCGTTCTAAGTATCAGGTCAGCCCTCCTCTCTAAGCTGGCGTATCGACGGGTGGCCCGTACCTGTCTGAGCTTCAAGAATCGCACGGAGTCTAGGGTCTTCTGGATATCGGGGATTTTGTCTTTCAGTCCGGCCATTCTCTTCTGAAGGTTCAGCTCCATGAACTGGTATTTCCTGCACACGTCGACGGGTTACCAACAGTCTCCACAGGCCTTCGTTCTGCTCGTTGACACAGTTCTGGACATGTGCCTGGCGGACCAAGCACGAGCGGGCGACTCACGAAATCATCTCCTGGAAGTTGCGCATCGTCGGTTCGACATCTTCGCGGGTGGTGACGTAGTCCTCAACCTTGTCGACGAACGGCGCCTTGGGGATACCTCGAGGGTTGCTGGGCGTGGCATCTTTGCTGCGGTGGGGTGAAAATTGTTAGCATAGTCACAGCAATCAGATATGGTGAGAACATTACCCAGCTGTATCCAGCTTCTTGCCCTCTGCCGACATTGTGGATTTGAGCAAATATTGCCTTTAGCGCATCGTCTGTTGTCGGCAGGAAACTCGCGATTTTTCGTAACGGTGTGGAGGGGAGCTGCATGACGGTCCGCCACCGAGCCGATCCTACGGTGGCCTGTTCACCGAGGTGAGGGGTACATGCTTGGTGGGGTAGGTCCTTACGCCCCCTCCCCCCCAACTTCACTGGTTTTCGATCCCGATACTCCGCAACTCCAGTTGAGACTCCAGGCTGCTAGAGAATAAAGCATGATGGGAAGACTTGGAGTTGAAGTGTTGCAAGGAGAGAAATGTGCTGACCGAAAAACTATTAGCCATGACATCCAAGTTATGAAGAGCAGTAGCCGGATAATAAAACCTGCAGCCAACACCATTCGAATGCAAAGAGAATTATCCTCACTCGTGGAAACCATATCTCTCAGCCTGTTGGTTGCTTCATATACTAACAGATGCCTATAGAGATGCAAAGGAAGAGAAGATATCTCTGTCCAAAGGTTCCTAAGACAGAACACGCGGCTTATTCATCAAGGTAAGAGCTCACCGCCGCCCCGAACGGACTAGCAGCACGCCATGACCGAGCGCCCTGCATGTCCATGTCTCCATAACAGAGCTAAGCTACCTTATCTGGCTTATCTAGGGGAGCCGATAAACAAATTCCATTGAGTTTAAGCCGGTCCGGCTGGTCTCCTTGTAAACACCTCTCGTCCCCGACAAACCTCTCCGCGACCAATTGATCCCTTGCGCCCTCTCGTCTCTGTCTCAATTTCACCTGTGGTCTTGGCCAAGTGAAATAAATTGATAGACAAATCGCTTCCGAGTAACCCTTGAGGGCAGCGCCTTGATCACCGGTGGCGGGGTAGTATTCCAAGAGCTCGGTAAACCAACCGAGAGACGCAATAATGGCGGACGCTGTGGTTGACCCCGAGGTGGCCGGCGGCGCGCTGCAAACGGTCAAGGACTTGGCAGCTGGTGCCGCGGGTGGCGTTGCTCAGGTCTTGCTCGGTATGGCTTTTTGTTTGTCCACGTGAGATGCTGGGGGGAAAGAGGGAGCCGGCGATGTGTGCTCGAAGCTCTCGTGCCGACTTCGGAATGACACCCGAATCTCATGAGCGACCCATAGTCATCACCACCGTCTCACTCAATCCCTCCCTCAAAATCACGCGCGGCACATGCGCACACAATACATATGTCGACAACAAGAAAACTGACATTTCCCAGGCCAACCTTTCGATATCGTCAAAGTCCGCCTCCAGACCTCAACAACGTCCTCATCGGCCCTGACCGCCGCCAGCCAAATCTACAAGAACGAGGGCGCCCTCGCCTTCTACAAGGGCACCCTCACACCCCTCATCGGCATCGGCGCCTGCGTCTCCATCCAGTTTGGCGCTTTCCACCAGGCCCGCCGCTACTTCGAGGCCCGTAACGCTGCCTCCTCCCTCGGCGCTAGCCCGGCCCTCAGCTACGGCCAATACTACGCTGCGGGCGCCTTCGCCGGCGTCGCCAACTCGGTCATATCGGGCCCCATCGAGCACGTCCGTATCCGCCTGCAGACCCAGCCCCACGGCGCTGCGCGGCTGTACTCGGGCCCCCTCGATTGCGTCCGCAAGCTCTCGTCCCACGGGGGCGTGCTGAACGGCCTCTACCGCGGCGAGGCCGTGACAATCCTGCGCGAGGCTCAGGCCTACGGCGTCTGGTTCCTGGCCTTCGAGTGGATGATGAACGCCGACGCCGCGCGCAACAAGATCGACCGCAAGGACATCCCAAGCTACAAGATTGCCTTCTACGGCGGTCTGGCCGGCGAGGCGCTGTGGCTCAGCAGCTACCCCTTTGACGTGATCAAGAGCAAGATGCAGACGGACGGCTTCGGCAAAGAGCAGCGGTACAAGACCATGCGCGACTGCTTCGCCCAGACGTACCGCGGTGAGGGACTGCGCGGGTTCTGGAGGGGCATCGTGCCGACGCTGCTGAGGGCCATGCCCGTCAGCGCCGGCACGTTTGCGACGGTTGAGTTGGCCATGCGGGCTCTCAGCTAAATCGCTGTCGTTTACTTTTCATCGGGTGCAACGTCGAGGGGGTTGTGTTTTGGGTCATTTGTTAGAAGATACAATTACGGGCTTGGCAAAATAGAAGTTTCAGGGGCAAATCCTTCCTGGAGTCTGCCATTTTCTGTTTCGAAATGACTGTGTCGTACATATACGTCCCTGGCATTGTTACATGGCAATAGACCCAAGCTAGGACGCTTAGCGTTTATTCCTTGTTTTCAACTCTACGCTGTAATATGTGTCTCGCGTTTGCCGGCGTAAGCGTATCGATGTCCAGCTCCTCCAGGAGTTTCTTTGCCTCAGCGTTGTCCGTAAACACCCGGTCAGTAGCATCCTTGAGCGACAGCGTACCGTCCTGAGGTTCGGTGGCAAGGTTGAGCAGTTTCAAGGCGTCAGCCAGACTACCCAGCGACCCTACACCGTTCGGGATGTACCTCTCGACCAGGGCGAAGATGGCATTGAGGTCGCGCGTAAACTGCGCTGCGCCAAATGCTGTAAAGCTCTGTCTCATGAGGACCTCGCCCCAGAGCATTTCTTGGAGCTTGTCGAGAGCCGCGCGCCACGTACGACGGAATGATGCGGTACCGATAGCCTTGAGCAGAAAGTCGAAGTTGCGCTTGAGGATCTGATTCGGGTTAAGGGGCGTTTCACGAATAGGGTCTTGGCATGACTCACTCTTAGGGGTTCATCCAGTTCGGGCGTGACAGCCAGTTGCGACGGGTCGACTGTAGATCGGTTAGAGACGGACACAACTTGACTTGTATACCAGAAAGGCTTACTGTCTGAAACGCTATCGCTGATGGTCGTCCAATGCGTTCTTGTCGAGTACGCCCTGAAGGCCTTGTAGTGAGAGTCGGCAAGGGCATTGACCAAAAAGTCCTGGGCCGTCTTGCGTCTAAGGCTGTACGCGGCAATTGTTTCATCAAACAGAACCCCCTCGTCGCCTTCTGAGCCCACGGCAGCAGAAGTGCGGTCCTTGACCTCCTCGTAGCTCATCTCACCTGACATCCTTGACGGTTCGCCCTCTTTGGTTGCACGACCTTGCAGTTGGTCCCACAGCGTCACGAAGAACTCCTCGTTACCCCAGTCCTTGAGAGTATTTACGACGTGGTCTGCACTGCCGTATACTTTGCATAACGACTCAAGACTGCCGGTGCCTTCGAGAGCAGCGAGCTGTTCCTTGGTGACGCCGTGGAGAGTCCTGCCGACCGTGGACGTCAGTGCCTGGTAAGCCTCCAAGGAGCCGCGGAGACGATCATGGAACTCGTCGAGAATGTCGAGTTGGATGCCGATTAAGAAACGCATTTTGTGCTTAAAGGTACGAACTCTCTCATATTGGGTCGTGATAGATCTCAAGAGATCGGTGACCCGCACAGCTCCAAAAGTCGGCTTGGTCTTGCCCGTCGCAGCGTAGTCATAGTCAATGTTTCGCGCATCTGGCGTGGCCATGATAGCCCGGAAACGCTCCAGGGCAAATTCCTTCTCGGCTTGGAACCAAGGCTCAAACCAGTCCTCGAGAATCTCCGTAGCAAGGCCAGGCCAGCCCTGCTCTGCGTTGCCACCATCGTAGTTGAACTTGGTCCGAACAGTCTCGTCGAACGTCATCAGCTGACCAATGAAGTTACTAAGGAATGCCGGGTTCTTGGCTGTATCGGCCACAACGGCCTGAACTTTCTCCTTCAACACGGGCAGCATGCTGGTGATGAATGCGCAAACTGGGTCGATGTAGACCAAACTGTTCACTGCAGGCGTGTCGCGGAATTTGGCAGCGAGTGTGAGACCCAAGTTGTCCCTGAAAAAGTCTTCCCACTTCTCGATAGTCGCCAGAAACCAGGGAAAGCAGTGAGACCCAACAGCATCGGGCTTGCTCGTCGGTTTGTCGCTGAGGAAGTGGAAGCGAAACTCGGAGACAAAAATTCTCGACATGACGTCGAATGGCAGTAGAGTGACAGTGGATTTGCTCAAGATGACCTCTTGAATCTGGAGGTCAAGCAACTTTTCGAAGCAAGCAAGCCACTCCTCGTCCATCTCAGAAGTTGGTTCGACCATGGGCCACGACCTCTTGCTGAGCACAGCCTCCAGCTCGCCCGACATTGTTTTCTTCATCTCATCCCACAGCGCATCGGCGACGCTGCGCACGTGATTGACGAGGTGGACAGCAGCGTCGTCGGCCGGCCCAGAAAGCTCCTCGAGGCGCCTCGAAAGCTGCTTGAGCTTTGAGTACGGCTCCAAGGCCGCCTTGGGGCTCTCAGGAAGATGCGATCGGGCTTCGGTCCGCAGTTTTTCGACATCTTGTAGCAGACAGAGATAGCTCTGGGCGAGCTCGATCGTCTGTAGCTTCTTCATAGGCTGCTGCAGTCTAGCGATGGCCTGATTCGGGGCGTCGGACGCTGCTGCAATCTTGACGCGGACGTCGATGCTGTGCTGAAGTTCCTGGAAGTCCTGAACGCGTTGAACTAGCGAGGATTGACGGTCGCCGGCTGTGCGACGAGCCTCGTCGAGCTGTCTTATGGCATTGTCGAGTTGGGTTTGGAGCTGGCTCCGCTGGACTTCAACATTGGCGATTAGGGAGTCGAGATTCTCGAGATCGGTCGTGGACTGGAGCTTGTCGTCGAGGAAGTCCTCGACGCGAATATCAAGAGCACCGGTCTGAGGATGACTCTCGCGTATTGTGGCCATTGTAGTAGGTTTTAATCACCGCAGCTGAGGAGGCGCATCGACTGTCAAGTTCGCAACTTGTGGTCTGAACAATGACGTGGAGCTCAGTACGATACAATGGTGGGGTGTATGCAATTATCAAACCGGACTGGACTGGTATGTAATTAAGTGAAACGATATTTATCTATGCAAATACCCGTTCGACATAGTGTCTTACCAGCCGCTCATAGATGTATCTGGGTCCTGCCACCCAAGTTGGTTCCTCTTGCGCGTAGAATAAAGAAGACGTCTTTTAAGCAACCAACTTTGCACCGACCGTATATTGGGATAGTTGATCTGGCTTTGACAAAGACTCCAGGAGACGAACGATAAGCTCTGCCGCGCCGAGTTACACGGACCTCTTTCCCAGCCACACATTAATCGAAGAAAGTATCAACACATTCCTATCTCGGGTGTTCAGCGGTCTTCCAGAGAAGAGGAAATCTCGGGGCACATTTCAACCAAATGTCTACAAGACATGCGGTTCATTAAAGAGCCATCGTGGCATTAGTCAAAAGGTTGTTGATCCTATTCAAGAGGACAGCTGTCTAGTGTTATGCTCGTGTATACGGACCCGCCTTGACGGGTAAGATGAGAGTTATAGACTAGGTGCGTCAATGGCTTACAAGACGTGTTTCATCGCGAACGGATGTTGAAGATGACAGCGCACAGTGCCATAGCAGATCGATTCTATGGGTGGCCGTGTTATTAATCAGCTGCCGGGCGAAGCCATCACACTGGTTCGAGATCTCCAGAAATCCGGGAGCTCGGACTTCACAGGCAGCGCTAACATGTTTTGGGATGCAGCGTCTATCTGTGTGGATCTAATAGCCAGCAAAGAGGAGCGATCGTTCGACCGCAGTGACAGATGTCGATATGTTTGTAGTGCAATGCGTCGATTATTTGAACATTCAATACGAAGAGCTGGTTGACGGCCATGTAGACAAGTAGAGCGGTGTGTTGGACCGCCTTACCGTCTTGATGGAAATCACGGAGCTGTCTGGGGTTCCGGCGGTAAACGTATTCCGCCCAGCAAGGAAACCGACTTCCGAATAGTCTCAGCCATTTGGGATGTTTGGGTGGCTTACCATGTATGTGGCAGGTTGCCAAGAGTCTGTATCCGTCGAGGAGTCGGTAACGAATCTTGGCTGTCATCCAGCACATAGCGTTTTCAATGCTGTCGCCATGCCAACAGGGGGGCAAAGGGCCAAGATCCGTGAGACAGCGGCACAACGCATCACCAAGACTCGGCGCGAGCGAGAGAATGAATGAAAACAAGGAATCAACCAGGTAGACGTGCCGGACCCCGGCTCCGGGTCTCGCCTCAAATGCAGGAACGCCCGAGATGTGTTCCCGGGTCGAGTCGCGTGCAGGTTGAATTGGGTTAGACACTTTGTAGACGGCAGCCTGGAGTAAGCGGATGAACAAGGAAGGCTGCAGGATGCACAAGATAGGTACGAGGGTTTAGACGCCCAGCCAAACCCACTTTAGGATGGTGGCGGCGGCTTCAGAGATGTTTGCAACGCAGAGAGGAAACATTCATTATTGAAGGACTCAAATACGACACGACGACGAGAATCGAGGCAGAAGACGCGAATGCGCAGTAGAGTGTTACGCTAAGACGCGGCCTTACTATGTAGATTCGACGGGGGACACGGAACGGGGGACCCCTGAAAAGACGTCACCCAGCCACGGGCTTTTTTTCAACCTCTCAGGCCCTCTTAGCCTGTTAGGTGCCCGCGCTGATGGAACCGCCTTCCCACTAGGGAAGTGCAGATACCACAGAAAGGCATCCACCCCCCCCCCCCCCCCCCCCGGACAGTTGGCCAGGGTGCGCGCTAGGTACTTGGGTACGTACCGGGCTCACCCCCACCCTCCACCGCTCTGCTCGCCCCAGGAACCGCTGCGATGCTGCAAATTGCCCTGACAACGGTGGCAGCGCCACGAGTAAATAGAGGAGGTTGGCGTAGCTACGTAACGCTCTTCGCCCTTCTTGGTGCGCCAACACCGCACAGTCGCTGGCAAAAAAATGGATGGCAGGACCAATTGCACATCGTCCTCAACTCTCTTTTGCCCAATCCCGTCCCTCTTTCTCCAGACTCATCCATCGAGCTCTCTACCCAGCCATCTGAATATTCCCATCCGCTCTGCAGACATCCGCGGGCATCCCGCTCTCCATTCTGGAACAACTGTTGCCAGAGACAGACAAAACTAAGTCCACCCTCACCCTGTCATATCTGCCCTGCCTCTCTCCCTCCCAGCCATCCCAATATTCCAGACTGCATCATACCACTTCCTCCCAACCTTGAAGACCCAAACCGCACACCCGCCCTCTCACTCCAACCCTTTCCACTCACACACTTCCTGTCGTCTCTCTCACGCCCTTCATTCTCGACGACAGCATCGAAAGTGATAGTTTGTTTTCGTGTCTGACAACGACTATCAAGTCTAATCGCAGGTCCAACATCGTCCCGCATTCCTCGCGGTGTTCCCCAGCAATACTCGCCCTCGTTTCTAGAACGAACCCAGCAAACCTTATCGCTACATTCTTCTCTACTCAGCGCGACAAAGCCGTCAACTCCCACCAACTCCGCATTCCTCGCCCACCTGTCTTCCCCGCCTGGCCATAAGGAAAGACATTTTGCGTGCCAGCGCTGAGAGTGCCAGGACCAGAACCCCTCCGTCGCTCCGCTACAACGGAGGACGGCGTGGGTCAAGCAAATACTAGCCCATCTCTCTAGAGGAGTGGACGATTAAGATCACATAGTCAAAATGGCCAAATTCCAAGTTGGCTGGTATCGTAAGTTCCTCCATGTTTCTTCCGCTTGAGTGAAAGAAGCATTCCAGACTAACATTGCATCTCTCTTTTAGGGTTCGTACCGTTCCTTGGATATCACCATGTCTTGATGATCTTGATAGCAATCGCCATCATCCTCTTATGTGAGTTCATCTGACGGCGACATGCAACCAAAAGCGCTTACTGACATTGTCCGCAGCTCTACTGTTGGCAGGATGCTCTTCATCCTCACCTTTGATCCCCGATATCTTCCTCCTGTCCCTGTACTACGACCAGTACACAGCGGTGCCTTCAACGGCGCAAGTTGACTACAATGTACATACGGCCATCGAAAACATCGCCGGTGACGCCCGCCTCGCCTGCCGTGTTGGTTACTTCGGAATCTGCATCAGCCCAGACGGCGGCAGCTGGCTTTGCAGCAACAACGCTACTGCTCTTGCCAACGAGGTTTCCGTCGACCAGGATCCCCTCAACCTGATCTGGCTTGCCGCTCAATTCAAGGACATGATCGTGTTCCCTTACCTTATGTAAGTTTAGCCGCTCGACTATTTTGCGAGCACATTGTCCTAACCTCTTGATCAGCATCATTGCCATCATCTTTGCCTTCGTCTGCTTCCTCTTGCTCGCTACCTTCCCCGGATGGCATGAGGAGGAAGACTCCGAGGGCTCTGACCGCGAAGTCAAGCCGTTCCCGTCGCGACCCGTTTCCCAGATCTCGTTGGCCATCATCTTCATCGCCTCCATCTTCATTCTCGTCTCCGTGTTATGGCAGCACACCGCCTCAGTTGCCGCATCCATCATCGCTCAAGACTTCGGAAATGGCGCTGTCCGCTCCGGCGTCGGTACTTCCGCCATGGTCCTCGGTTGGTTCAGCTTCACCCTGCTCATCATCGTCACCATCGGCCTGTTGGTCATGATCCTGAGTATCCGTGTTCTGAGCCAAATGGTCGACTAGACCGAGGCGCATAACGATAATGCGAGACGGAAGGATTCGAAGACGACATATGTGTAGAGGATGGGCCCGAAGCCCCACGCAAGAGAGAATGGAATCTTTGTACATGGAGGGATTTTTCGAGAAGGGCATTTTTCAACCCAGCCCCCATCAGCACATTCATCGTCCAGCACAAAAGACCATCAGCATCAGGGAAATCGGCGTTGTATATCACGTTTGCGTTTTGATTTTTACTTATTCTTATTTGGCATTTCATTCTGGGTAGGCAAAGGGCGGCAACCACATGCCGGTTGCGCCCGCCCCCCGTCATTTAATGTTGTTTGCTCTCAACGACAAGCGAGAGCGAGAACGACCGATAGAGGAATGGCTGCAGGACCTCTTTTCTTACAAGGCAGAAATAAAAAAGACTGGATATGGCCGTGGTGAACAAGACGAGGCCGGCCTGAAGGGAAATAGGGAAACGAATTGGACGCAAAGGAATATGGAAATGGGACACGTGTAGGAGTAGGTCATGACATCTCGCATGACGGCGAAAGAGGCTTTGGAGCAGAACGAAAGACAAGATGAGATGACTGAAGGATATGAAATTGAGCATGACGAACAAAACCCTCCCCCCTCCATCCAAATGTGGAATTACTGATTTGGTGATACACGTTCGTTATGATGGTACGGACAGCAACGAGGGAAGAGGTGTTGCTGATCAATAAGGGGACCAGTTACATCGCTCAGAGGACCGCAAAAGGGATATAGTAAACAAGCATAAGTAGTCAGTTCATTGCCGATCATCGTGCTCCTGGGGTCAGCTTTAGGATGGTCCCGCCCCCTTGTTTTTAGAAAACCCAAGTTTATACAATGCAACGAACCAAACACTCAACGAGACATGGATGTTTGTCCATCATGGAAGAAGAAAAAACACGCCGCAACGCCATGGTAGCCACCACCCACCGTGATATCTCATGCCGAGCTCTATGCTCTGTGTTCCGATCTGTGGCGCGCGTACACACGCTCTCTCTCTCTCTCTCTCTCTCTCTCTTTCTGTACCTATCGCATACGCAGCCGCAGAGGCAAGCTTCTATTCATGCTTATACTCTTCTGGGGTGTCTGTCAACATCTAAACAGGCCGCTTGAACGGATGCGCCTCGGTGTTGAGCACCCAGTCGTCAAGACTGATGACGTCGGGTGTCGAAAACAAGAGATAAAAGTACTTGAGCGTCTCGGCGACCCAGAAGCTCTCCATCTCGTCTACGGGGCTCGGGTCCTTGGACAACACATCGTCAACGGCGCTGTTGCCGTACTCGGTCCGTGTTGCCTTGATGATGGCCTCCCACATCCTCCAACCCTTCTCCTGCCATTCGGGATCGCCAGTGATGCGGTACATGTACCACACGGACTCGATGGCCTCGGGCCTGGTAAGTTGTTAGTTTCGGAACGCGGAATAGCCACTCATGCACACGGGAAGTAACTTACCGAAGGATGTAGCGCCTGGCGTTGATGTCGACAAAGCCAGGCGGGATCTTCTCACGCTCGAGTTTCTCCTTGATATACTCCTCGTGCGACTGCGGCTTCGGGTCGGCGACCTCGTCCGCCTCCTCAATCCTGATCTTGCCTACGATACCACCGCTGACCGACGCATCCTTGGACCCGCTGTCCGTATCTTCGGCGCTGTTCAAGTCAAGCTTGTTCTTCAGGGAGTTACTGGCAGTGTCTTTGGCAGATTCCTGGCGAGGGTCTTGGGACGTAGGCGGGGCGGGATCCCGCTTCTTCAGCAAGTGCTCATCGACGTTCGAGGGCGACTTGTTGAGGCCAGGCTCGGGAGCGGGGTACTTGGTCTTCTTGGCCGATGCTAGGTTCTTCGGCTCGTCCTTGGGAACGTGGATATCCGCGAGCGGGTCCTTCTTCTCTGGCGCAGTTTCCTTCTCGATAGACTCCTCAGTGGAGTCGCTGCTGGTCAGGTCGGTCTTGCCTCTTTCTACGGACTGCTTGCGGAGCTCGTCCTGCTGCTGCTGCTTCTTCTCACTCTGTCTCTCCTCCCAAGCCTTGACCTGCGACTGGCGCCAATCAGCCGACGGGTCAAGATGCTGCCACCAAAGGGTCTCATTCCAAGGGCAGCTCTGCGTGGAAGCACAGGGTACGACAGTGGCACCCTCGGGCATAATACCAGAAGGCATCGATTCATACGCCCAAACGCAGCCATCGGTGAGTTTCTTGGCTACTTCGATGTCCTCGGGCCGGTCAAAAATCTTGCCTCCGAGGCCAAACATGCCACCAATAAAGCAGGTGAGATGCGTCACTTCGTATTCGGTTCGTAGATCATTCTCCGGGTCGCCAGATGTCGACAGCTTTGCTGAGAAAAGAATATCTCTATCCTTGGGTACCATGGGCCGATAGAGGAGCCACTTCTTGACAGCCTCAACAGTCTTGATGTGCATCGTCTTGTACTTGGGTTCAAGGCCGCCAAGCACGAGGTATTCCTACGGCAAATCAGTCCGTGTCATGGTTGCAAATGTCGAAACAAAACTTACCTTCGGGAAGTACTCATAAGTGGAATCTTGGCTTCCACCCATGCTATATTGCTCGTAGCCCCAGCCACCAGGGGCCAGACCCTGCTTGATGCAATCCCACGAGGACTTGTCCGGCGTTGTGGGAGATGGGCTGCGATCACTGTTACCGGGATCTCTGGGCTTCTCTTTCACCTTGAGCTCAGGGATAGTCTGCTTCTCGTCGACGTCATTGGCATTTCCCACCACAGGTTCGCCATCCTCGTCAACCCCAGCGGCCCGTTTCGCAAGTAAGCTGATCTCGTCCGACTCGCGACCGTTGCTCGCTGGTTCGTGTCCCTTGGGTTCCCTGAGACGGGCAGCAGCAGCACTTGCGCTCGCAGCCGCAGCTTGCTCCTCTTGATAGATGATGGCCTCGGCAGTTCTGTTGCAGCCGGAAGCATCAAGCTGCTCGGGGAAAATGCCATTGATGGTGGTACCGCGGTTCTGAAGGTCCTCAAAAGCATCGGTGATGCGCGCAATGGCATCGTAATACTTATCCTCGCCAGTCAACTGCGCAAGTCGGGTGAACTCCATGCTCATTGAACCCAGCTCGGCCACACCGACAGTCGTAGCACGGTGCGGCTGGGATGCATACTGGGGTTGCCAATTGTAGTACAGGATGGGCATGCGGTTGGGCGTGTCGAAAACGCCCATCAAGATCTCGGCGAGCTCGACGGCCTTGTCCAGAAGGAGTTTGTAATCGCCCTCCCTGCCACCACTCACGTCGTAGGCGGCAAGCAAACCACCCAGGTATCTGATGATGGTTTCAAAAACTGGGATATCGCGGCGTGTCGGGCTATAGGTGAAGTCGATGTCCTTGACAGCCTTGGCGGCGGCATCGAATTCCTCTTTCATGCCCATAATCCAAAGGGTGTCGAGACCGTCAACCAGAGTGGCGGCCCAGCCGCAGAAAGGGTCGCGGAAGCGACCGCTGACGGGGGAAAGCTCGTCGTGCATCCAGGCAAACTTACGGTACCCTGCCCAGGAGCGCTCCATTTCAGCCTTGATCAGCGCCAGGCGGCTTTCGCGCTTCTCCTTGGCAGAGTCCGACTCTGGCTTGAAGGCGTATTGTACCTTGGGAATATCCTTGGGCTTACCGGTGGGAAGAGGAATAATCTCGTCCGTGGGAACCGGGAAATGCTCGGAGACTTTGTGCCAATGAATTTGCGAGGTGGACGTCAATTCGCTGTCCAAACGATCAAGGCCGAGCCGGCCGGGAGGATTCTTGGCGTGGATGTCATCTTCGAGAGGTATCGTCGGTGCTTTGGTGACGTCGGGCTTCTTCGTGGCTTCGACGGCCTCGTTGGGCGCATGAATAGACAGCGTAGGGCCAGACAGCGCCTCGGTAGGAGTGGCAGGCTTCACCTTGTCTGACTTAATCTGGGGTATCTTGACGGTAGGCCTGGCCGTCTGCTTGTGCGGGTTCTGTTCGGGTTCGTCCTCTTCCTCGTCGTGCGGGTGCTCGTGATCGGGAGGCGGATTATTGTTCAGATGTGTGTTATCGTTGGTCGTGGGGGGCTTGGCGGGTTCCTTGTTGGCATTTTGGGCCTTCTCGGGGTCGCTGGACTTGATGCTGCCAACGTAGCCTGTTGCATCCCATTCGGGGGTCTTGAAAAACTGGTATAGCATGAAAGCCATGACGAAGGCGATGAGGAGCACATAACGGCTCTTCCGGCGGGGCATCATGATGGCGGGCGCGCCGTGGCGAGTGTTTGGAAGCGAGTATTTCGACCAAGATGGCGATGTCGCGTGCTACAGCGCAGGTAGCGTTGTGCCGTCGATCTGGGGGGGACCGTGGGTGGTCCAGCCAAGTAAAAGAGCAGCAAGGATGATGACGAACTAATAGGATGTCATCTCTCGGATTGCTAAAAAGTCGTCGTTGGAAATGAAGCCACGACAATGTGGAACAAGGTGGCACTGGGGACAAGGAGCGGAAGAATGGGAGGAAGAGGGAAGCCACGAAGTTGAAGTCGGCCAAACAAGGGAAGCAAGCAGGCAAGATTGCAGAAGAGGGAACGACAACGGTACGTAGAGACTGAATTGGGTGGAGGGGTGAGAAGGTCGGGAAGGGGAAGGAAGGGGGCACGGAGCTTGGCCAAGACAATATCTGTGTATCCGTACCTATTCGTACACGAGCGAAATGCCTCGTCTTCTGGGGGAGGTGAGAGGCAAGAGAAACACCTCCTCGGACCCTTAGCCTTTAGGTGAGTAGGTAGCCAAGGTGGGTAGGTATGTACCTACCGGTATGTAGGTAGGCAGAGAGAGGAAGGTAGGTACTCCGTGTGACTACGGTGAATCAGTGAGGGACAAAGGTACCTACCTGCCTACCTACCTTACCCCCCTACCTAGGTAGTAAGTAGTAGTAGTAGTGTGGTAGGAAGGACGACTTGAAAGGTTTGGTGTTCCCTTATTGGAGTTGGCTGCTCTACGGATACTTGGTGTACACTAGCCTCCTCCCTGCAT